TGAGCCGAGTTACTTTCAATATTCAGTGTTGAAAGGGCGTTTTACTTTATACCTCGTGTCCAGCAAGAATGTGATATCGTTTCTAGTAGTGAACGAGTACTTATTTCAGCAACTCACTCATCATAACATACATTTACAGAAGAGTTGTATAATTCACTTAGGAAGTGATTCGTGCACATCTAAACCAAGTTTTACGAAATGGGTAAGTTAATGGATTCTTAAGAACTAATGGCGACTTGAAGGAAGTGAAATGTTAAAAGACTCAGAGAAGCGAAGTCATTAATGACTGACAATGTAAAGAGCTTTATGTACTTTAAATGTATCAATGATTTTGAATGTCGGATTCATTTAAGAAAATAGATAAGATTACATAATCAAGGCGCCTATGCATTTTATAATCAAGAGGCTAGCACGTAATCAAAAAGCTTGTCAGTTTGAATAAATTTAAATGAATTCGCTTAATTCTTCCCATTTAATCTAGTAGAATAAACAACCAGATGAATCGCACCAATAATAAGGAAATAAGAGTGACCAAAACGTACACCCTCAACTTACATACCTCACAATATCCAGGCCACATCATCTTCGCAGAGAACAAGGACAAATAATACATATCACCGGAAGATGGTGGAGAATGAAAAGAAAAGAAACGGAACTGCAAAAGTATTAAATATAGTAGAACTATAGAGAACTGATGAAGCTTTCACTCAAGATTATTCTGTTGAATAACAAAAATCTGACTGTTGGGATACGAACTTCTCCAAAAGTAAACAAGTGTCAGTATTACACGAATCAGAATCTAATTCTTGGTTACTTCTTAATCTTGGGCAAGAACTACCATAGTGATTTAGTAACGTTACACCGCCCACAACTAAAATGATTTGTTCGGTTCTTCTATCAGCAAAATCTCTGGATTTGTTCAAAAGGCACGAGGATAGAAATAAACTAAAAAAATCCAAGGGAAAAACAGAAACCCTTTTTCCTTAGCTCAGTATGGTACGACAAAAAATTCTAAAAAGCGAACTTTTAAAAGCAACACAGTACGAAGTGAAATTTCGAAATCACAGGGTCAGCATCTCGCATCACCACGTCGCTGCGACGGAACAAGAGACCGCCCCGCCCACTTCGCTCAGTTCGGACGCGGTCTGACAGGGTCACCGCGAGCCCCCCCTGCGTCTTTCGCGACCCCGCGCTCGCTTTAATGTCCTGGTTCCAGGCGGCACGAGCACGCCCGTGACATCTTTACGGCGCACGCCGCCCGCTAAAGAAGAGGCCCCCGCCATTTCATTTGTTTTCTGCCCCCCCCCAACCGAAAAAAAATGGCGTCACCGGCATTGAGTCCCCCGCTTTTTGTCCCCTCGCCCAGTGTCCTAACCGCCATGCCGCCCCCCGCCAGGCGTCCTCCCGCCCTCCCCCTGCCCACTCACGCGCCCCCCGCCCCGCCCCGCCACCGCCGACCCGCGCTACCCGCCCGCTCCCGCCCGCTTGGCACCAACGCCGCTCCCCGCATTAGCGGGCCACGCAATAACATCCCACCCGACGACGCAGCGAAAATCTTCAAGCGTCAGCGGGTCGGGTTGCAGTTATTTCGTCATGGTCAAGCGCCGCCTGCCGCGTGGCACGGAGGCGCGAAAGACAACCGTCTCGGGTTCCTTCGTTTAATTTAATGTGCTCCTACGTTGAGGCTATGATTCAAAACGCCGCAAAGAACTACGCTACACAGTCACGAAACGTTCTCAAACTGAACGTCTAAATGTTCCTCATTCCTGCCATGTGTGTGTTAGCGCTAAGCCTTAGTGGTCTGTGGTGTGTTAGAATTGAAATTATTATATTATATATATATATATATATATATATATATTATATATAATATATATATATATAGCACGACCTTTTATCAATGTCTTCTTTTCCAGTTCTAGAACCCACTCCTAGTCACGACTGCGTTCAATCCTTGATGGGGCTTCCTGTATTAATGTTACGAGCCATTAAAAATATGGAATCAGCCATCGTTCGGCCCTAAGGGTGGGAAGAGGTTAGGGAAGGAAGAGATACGTGGTTCGTTTTATAGGATGCTCATCCGATATTAATCTGAAAGCAACCAGGAAAACTAAGTTTCAAGATGAATAAATTATACTTTAATATTTATTCTCTTTTTAATTTTTTTTCGATTTTTTTTCCCAAAGGTTTTTATCCAGCCGACAACCACGTACCCCATATGTTCCGATGAGATGCATATTCGACCATACAATAGACCAATAGACACGTGCGGGCTCCTCTGATCTGGGACCAGCAGAAAAACGCGAGGCCCTCCGCGATAACACACACTTGAGAGACAAGGGACAAACAACCATGCTCAAGGCAGGACTCAAACCCGCGGCCCTTCGGAGCAAAACGATGAGTGCTCTTAGCTGTCTCGGCCATCTAGGTTGGCCTCTTTACAATACATTATTTAAATGTTCCAAGTCTGAATCGTATGAGAAGCAAAATTAGAAACTACATTGATATACGTTGTGTGCTCTAAGAGTACTGTTTTGTTCCTCGAGAGGAGGGCGTCGCTTGACGAAGCGGAGACGAGCTTGACACCCCTGCCTCTGAACGTCAACAAAAAAGAGGTCGAACGCTACCAAACGCCGCCGTAGCCGCAGGTTGCGCAGATACAGGAAACAGCCAGCAGCTTTTACGAGGCACTCCGCTCTTTTAATTTAGAGAAGAGAAGCGCGACGCGCCCGCAGGTTTAGAGCGAAATAAAGTTCACTTCATCACCAACCGAAAGTGGTCGGCCGAGGCGCACAGTAAAAATTCCCTCCAAGATTTCTCCGGGAGACCGCTCTCCCGTTTGGCCGGATGCACGCGAACCGTGCATGGCGTTGGCTCAATCAGGTGGTCCCCTGGAGTCCCAATGGTGGCCGATACGTTGCAAATGAGGAGAGGTGGCAAGTGCGTGTGCGAACAATCGCATATATTTTGTCTCCATAGCACCCACTTAAGTGGCTCAGGGGTACCAACTGATGTCGCTGCAGTGTCTTCGCTAGGGAGGTCATAAGGTTCGAGTCTTGACGGTGGCAGGATTTTCGGCACTAGCTAGGTCGAATTCAGCCGTTGCCTGAAAGAGAAATCTAGCAACCGGCTGCTCTGATGGGTAATTTTGCATGGTTTGGCCGATCAACACCAGGTGAATGCCGGAGTAGTACCGTAACAAACGGGCCGATAACCGGGCGCGATCTTTCCTTTCTCTCTCTCTCTCTCTCTCTCTCTCTCTCTCTCTCTCTCTCTCTCTCTCTCTCACTCTCTCTCACACACACACACATACACATACACTTACATGTACTACACTATCACAAATTAAGACCTTTAGAGATCTTAGAGCTTGTGTGGCTGAAATGGAGCCTCGCTAGTGGAAATATCTGGTTAAGGAAAAATCCTGCAAGCCAATGGGTAGGTCGGCGCAGGACCCGATCATTCAGAAAGGGAAGATTATCGTCACCCCCCGCGACAAAAATACACTACGCATACAAGACTAATGACCACCGCAGTTGAAGCGCCTTGGATCACTAATGAACCAATTGTCTCTTCAGAATATTTCTTGAGGGTAAACTGAAGCATGTAATGTACGACCGATTTGCAAACAAAGGAGTTTAAATACTTTTCTGAGACACGTACGTATTTAATTTGTCTTGGTCAACTCATTTACGCGACCTCTGCCATAAGATATCCTACTAGAATCACGCTTCGATCACCAAATCCCGGAACTCCCAATCTCCTACACGCAGCCATGCCACACGCTGAGGCAGACAAGCCTCAAGGCGCCGTGTGGCCCTTTCTAAAAACATGAATCAATCGCTTACAAGGGCGCAAGAAATTATGTTCGTCAGAAAAACTGGATTTACGTAAAGATAAATACGTTTTGCAACTTTTCCATAGGCTACAATTGTTGGGGCGGGGGGGGGGCGGCGTTCAACTGTTCTCAAGGAGCCACCGCCGCTGCTTGGAACTTCTTGTTTTTTTCTTTTGGTGCAGGCTCCGGAACAAGAGATTAGGAGTTCACTCGCAGAAGCATGCCACTATGATTTGAAATTACGATCCTCGCCAATCTCAGCCGGTTTGCTACAATTTTATTTACATTTTTGAACATAAAACGATATAATTTATCATAAAGCGTTTCTTGACTCCTGCACTAGAAATTTATCATAATTTTGATCAAAGCATTTGTGAATTCCGAAATAAAGCAGTATGCGTTTGCCTGTGTTTCGACAGTTTATTAGGGACACATTATTATCACTTGATGAAGATAAAAATATGCGGATACATTATTCGTGAATTTCATAATTTTTAGGTGTATTTTCTTAGAGTATCGTCAGGAAATAATGCATTAGAGTTATTATTTTCCTAGTATGTGGCACAAATAACAAAAATTTACATCAGTTATTTAATTACTAAACCAAGTGCGCAATTAGGTTAGATTGCTTCAATGTATTTCATTTTCCTCCGATGTTCACATCTAGCTGGCAAACGTAACTACCACCAAAAATGGCTTTCAACATAAAAATGAACTTATTGTAGAAGTTAATCACGAAGTGTATCTTTATGATCTCTTTTATGAGCTTCGACGATGTGTGAATAAAGAGTTTTCTGCAAAGCAAGACCTCGTCATCCTGGAACATTTTTCGTAATCCTTATGCAGAGATTGACACTTTCCAACACAAAAAGTTGCATAAACATTTAATTTTTCGAAATAAACAACATTAGAGGAATGTGAAAAGCTAAAGAATGAATTGCTAAGGTGATTCATGTCAATTAATAACTGTGTTGAGTTACGTTGACTATTTCTTCTATACGTTACGGTAGTACTGCACATGTACTCTAACCTGCAAATATATTTTATTGTTGAAGTCCTAATCATGCTTAAATGGAGAGGAGTTCCAAGGAATGTGAATCGATCCGCTGTTATATGTACCGGCGTATCATTAGTAACATTTCTAATACGTTCTCTTACTCACCTTATCTTTGGAAGGTCCGCTGCAGACTGTGCCTGGTCCATCCTTGCTGCGTAAGAACTTCGCCACCACCTGGATCTGGAACACAAGTGATCGAGCACTTCTTTCAAACACCAGTACATCATAGTAACAAAATCTGGATTCGAAAGCATACACAGAACACAACACGCCCCAACAGATTCAGCGAATAGTTTAAACGTCTTCAATGGCACTAGGTTTTTATTAACATTTTGAAATGTGTTTCAGGAGTTGGAAATCCTTAGTCTCTAGCAATACAGTATCATGTATTAGACAGTCCCTTCCACTATTTTTGTCATGTTAACGAATGAAAATGTTCCGATACCCATTTTTGTCTTATTACTACATGATATATTAGAAAATTTAATTGCCAAAAAATTATAAAATACTATCTCATAATTTGAGTTCATGAGATTGTTCATCTAGTATTAGAATGCAATTATCATAATTTTTTGTACATATTTTACAGTTTAAACACTTTTTAATCAATTGAATTTTTAAGTCTGTTAGTATGGTGTTAATGAACACTGAACAAATACCTTCAGAATTTTTCAATACAAATTATTTTTGCTAAGTTGAAATTTATGAAACAGTGCATTTGTTTTCAATTAGGAAGAATAATACCTTACCAAATTATTATAATTTAAACTAACGTGAGTTCTGAGTATATGCATGTCGATGACATTAGTCTATTTTCTGAATCAAAAAATGGGAGAAAATGGGGAACTATTATTATTTTTGAGTTTCTACAAATTCGAAGTTTTTGTTCATAACTACGACAAAAAATATAACTCTAATCAATGTGAAAATTGTGCAACAATATTATCCTCCTTGTTTCGGACGACGAGATTCAAGAACACTAACAACTTCTCCATTAAATCTCAAGACATATACTGGTTATTTATAAAAAGTATCAAAAGTAAATTATAGAAATATTATTTCAGGGATTGAACAGCATATGCTAAAAATGACCGTCAATATATAGCTGAAGATACAGATACCTTGTTGTTTCCTCTATTCCTTACACTGACTTCTCTTTTTATAGTCTGTTACTGAGTCACTCCCAAGCTTTACGCCTAGCTGAGACGATTTTAATATGTTTACACATCTAAAAGCATAAAACATGATTCATGATTATTAAATAAGAGATAATGAAGTAAAATTAATAATGACGAAACACGCATTGAAATCACTTGTTTCAGATTCTCGTTTAGTCAGGATCATTACTATTGTTCTATGAGATACGGAGAATCATCTTTGTCGAAATGTTCAGTTTTCTAAGAAGTAGGTAAATTCCTTTTTCGAATAAAGGACTGAAAATCACGTAATCATGACTTTCTATTTCATTTTCAGCACTGGAACAGTTACATTGCACAGAAGCACAACCAGTGGATCTATAACATCACATACTTTCTCGTGTTTATTTTGTTTGCAGCTAGAAACGGCTAACCTATTTCACCGTGTTAAAACGATTCAAACAACTGCACTTGATATTTAGTGGCTACGTAAGTATTTCATATCTTAAGTATTAAACGAAGTGGATAAGTACACCATACTACAGTATTTTCAATATTCCATTCTGAACCACCATATTAACTACATTGAATGTCTGATACGTGGGATTCTATGGCCGCCAGGTTTCTATAGTTCGGTACTAAAATTCAGGACTCATACACTCATTGTTTATCTGAAGTTTTTGCCAAGGTAAATGATTGCTGGCTATCTTGCCTGCCGATTCATAAGTGCGCCAAGACACAAAAATGATCGTTGTCCTTATTTTTTTTAAACATTTTACAAAACGTTATAAGATAATTTACAGATAACATATATATTACCATTATGGTTTCTTTTCGTTTCTACATAACTGAATATTCATTTACTGTGATTAAACACCGATATTTTCAGAATTATTTTTCGACCCCGTTGATAGTTACGTCAACATGTAGCTTTGGGAACATGAAAGAGAATTGAATTTCAGAGCAACATGGACATTTCAGGGGAGGGAATTTAGCCGTTTTTGGCTAAATTTAATTCGAACGTTTTCGGAAACATGGTATTTTTAGTTCCCTTATGCTGAAAATATTTCAAACTTTGAAAAATCAAGTTTAAAGAGTATTTGTATTCTTTACGCTAACAAAGAAATAGAACTTCCTAATACATCTTTCTCTCATTAGGGATTTTATCCAGCCAACAGCCGGTTACCCCTTTACGTGCCAATGGATGGCATATGCCCTCGAACACCAACACACTAGCGGGTTTCTCTGATGTGGGGTAAAGAGGACGCGACAACACATACGAGAGGCGACAAGGAACAAACAACCATGCCCAAGGCGGAACTCGAACCCGCGACCAAAACCCGGAGTCTGTTCATGCTCTTAGCCACCTCGCCCATCCAGGTCGGCCGTAATACCTCTAAAAGGTAAATTTTATATACGTGAAACATTTACAAAAAATATACATGTGTAATGTTTAAAAAATCGAGTCTTAATCAAAATCGCGTTTATGCTGTCTGATTAAATACATTTGGCTACACCCGAGCAAGAACTTTAAGGATGAAAATTGGAGTCGTTTATGAGAAAATCTTTTCAAAATTGCCCATATTTGAAAAAAAATTGTGCGAGTACTATTAATATATTCGATAAACTATATCTTCAATTCAAAATATAACTTTTCAATTCAACTAAATATACGAACATTTCATTCATAAAACCGCGATCTTCAATAATGTAGATGTATAACTTTTGCAATTTTAGAAAATTTAGAGGAAACAGTGGAAATTGGGCCTATGCCGCAATTAACACGTTTTCATGTATTTTAAAAAGGAATTTAAAGAAAGAACTTGGAGCCAATTTTGAGAAAACCAATGGCTTTATGTAGCTCCTAATTATTAAGAATTATTTTCAAATTCGCAGGGCCTGTAGTCGAGCCAAAGCGCTCATGGAATATTCACTTTCTAAAAAGTTCTGTGAATGGATTAAGTGCTTAAATGGAGAGATGACGTGCAGAAAACCAATTTTTCCGGTTCAAGGACCCATAAATCGTGGATGCTGTCTACACGACATATTAGAGAGGGTTCATCCAACAACATCCGTGAATTAGGTGTTCGCAATTAAGGAAATGCTGATGGTTTTAACATTCGCAATTACAAAATGGTCAAGTGCGTCCTTTGGTCGTCCTTCATTTTTATTCGAAGCAATCAGATTTTATTTCTTCCACATCGGCAATTGGGAACCAAATTCGACAGACACCGGAGCATAAATCATCACGTTCTGTAAAAATGTCAAGCTGGAATTTCATTTCATAATAATAGAATAATATGCGATATAAACAGACATTCATAATCATTGCGACAATCATGATAACCTAAAACAAGTGGAGCTTCGAGAATCATCAGGGAAGAAGATCGTCGAAAAAAAAATAAAAGAAATTGCGTCTTAAAGCATCGTTAATGCCAAAATTATTAGTGACATAAAACTTCAACAAGCTCTGGAGTAAAAATCTGAATATGGAAAGAACTTTGAAATTTAAAACAAGCAGAAGCAGCACATCTTCCACATAACATGATTTTTAAGATAACGACATCGATCAAACAAACAAAAGTAGTAATTATCCAACAGCGCATACCTTTTCGCATTATTTGTAACTATATATTCGAGAATTTAGGGAGATCTATGATAATCGGATTTGGCAGTTTTTGAAAGCGTACTTCGTCCTGTACGAGAAAAAAATAAAAAAGCAATTTCTAGCCATTTCTGAAAGTGTTTTGTTTTCAAAATTGCTTTTATTGAACGCAAAATTGCGCGAAAACGTCGCAAATTGTACATTATCTTGTGAAAGATCGAATTTGAAGAATATATGTTATTTCGAGCAAAAGTGTTTATTTTCAATATTGTAAATGAACGTCGCCAAACATATTTTAAACTCTTCAATTATCGAAAATTCAGAGAGTTAAACGAAAATCAGATATGCGTTATTTCAATAACGGAATTTACCTTTATCTGAGAAAAAAATTAAAAGAAAAAATGGAGCCATTCTGGAGAAAATTGTTAAAATGGTTTGGGACTTCAAGTACATCCAAAAATCTAAATATACGTTTTCAATTCAAGGGGCCGTGACATCAGCCAGAATGATCAGTAAATATCAATATTGAAAACCATTCTGCTTACGGTTTAGTCTCTAACGTTAACAGACGTTTTGCCGAACAGCGATTTTTCGAATCAACAACCCACAAACGTGGGTTCTGATTACGCAACGTGTTAGAGGAAGTACTTTGCATTTACGAACAAGAATTGTCCACTTTTTCAGTATTAGAAACCCACAAAACGAGTTTTTCTGCCGAAAAATTACTAATTTTGCTGCAACATTACAAAGCTTCGTACTACGTTAGCAGTAACAAAGAAAGATATTTCAAAAGAAATGATATACTACAAATACAGTTTTTATTATCGTTTTCAGGAAAAACAAAAAGTAAGTGTATGTTGCATTGTTTCATTTGCCCGATTCGTAGAGTTCCTAAGGGCTAAAAACATATAAAAATAACATAATAGGGAAATAAAAATAAAGTATGAGATGAACAAACAAAAAGTACCGAAGGTACTTTTCTGGATGACAAATCAATAATATAAAATAATCAAAAGCCATGGGGCAGATAGTATACTTTTCAAGTAATGTTAAATTGAACTTGCTGAAATATTTAAACAACTATCAGAAAAACATTGACCATTAGTTTGAGATTGTCTTGCTGATATCTATCATAAAAATCTTTAATATGTAGATTTCATAATTTATTCTTTTTCCACACTTCCTTCTTTTGAGCCCGTCGTAGTTCTCGTTCGGAACGTGTTATTTTCGCAACGAAGACGAATAAGTGCGACAGGAGCGTCTCTTTAACGTCATGTCACGAGAAAGAGTAAACAAATATCATACGACCTCTGTCAGCCTCGTGTAGCAAATGACGTCATCCGTTGCAGTGTCGCTTTTGCAGACTACTGCTTCTCATTATTACAATGTGTGAGCTTCAGTCGTCCGGGCGCAAAGAAACGAAGCGCCACTATCCTATTTAATAATTATTTATACAGTCTAGTAAGTAATAATCTGTGGAAAAATCCTATATTCATTATACAATTCTACATTACGATTAAAAGGACTATTTTAGTGATTTTTGAATCTTGAAACGAGTTTGGCCCTATTAAAAACTGATAGGAGGCAGAAACACACCTCAAAATGAAAACTTTATGTTTTCCGTCTGTATCAAATATTAATACACCTTTTCTTTCATTTGCAGTACAAAATATAATAAATACATTTTTAATAAAATCTTTCTCATTTTGCGACGAGAAAAATGTGATGGGCTAACATAACTTATCTGTCTTCGTGAAATACCACCCTTTTATGTCAGACACATCTTGAATTTTGCGCGACAAATATTCATTACTTCCCGGCCCTCAAAACGACTCTCGCAGCGGCAGGGAACTAAAAAAAATCGTAGAAGTCAACAGCATGTTGTCCTGGGATCTCAGTTCTGTCCACGTATTGAGCGGTCAAAGCCCACAAGCACAAGAGGGACAGGGCCGAACCGCTGCAGCTCGCTCCCAGGTCCCTTTCTTGCCCAAAATAGGCATCGAAGTGGGGCACTCGAGATGTTATGTGCCACTAGCACAGGAGTAGCATCTTTATTGTGATACCCGTTTCAGCCATATTTATCGTATCATCCATCTTAATGGGTTGGCGATTAGGATGTTATAATTTGAATTCTACTGGAGAAACGGTGCAGTGAGAATCAGAGAAAATGGGCGAATACTGGAAAGCCTTCCATCACAAATTGCATGTGGATCATTCGAGATATGAAACCCCGAACCCGAAGGACGACGAGCAATGTGACCGTGGCTACGGTATACCCCTCCCGCGCGTGAGGCGTATGAAAATGTGGGAGCGTCGTCTCTAATCGACTGCTGGAATAAGCGATGCTCCGCCATGGCACCATATCCTCCACCGCTGCAATACCCGCTGCCATCACCACCATTGCCCCAACCTCTACCACCGCGTCTACCATTATCGCTTCCTCCGCCGTAGCCGCGTCCGTTATGATTGCCCATTTCACCATTATCATATCCTCTTGGTATTTCTTTCATTTCTTCACCTCCCTGCTTTCTTCCTCTTCGCCCGCAGGTGTAGTCATCACCGCTGCCGTATCCGCTTTCACTTCCATCACCTTTACTACTCCGCTACCTCAACTGCCGCCGTCACCACCAACCCCCACCATCGCTACCCCGTCGTAGCGGCTCCGCCCCCCATAATGTTACCGTCTTGGTTCTTCTTTCTTTTCTCCGCTTCCTTACTTCCCCCTTTGTCCGCAGCAGATGTCGCCACTGCTGCCGTCTTTGCTGCCATCACCATTACCTCCGGGCAACCTCCTCCACCCACCCACTCTTCATCAGGACGACAGTAGTTTTAAAATGGTCGATCCATACCCAGGCTCATGTTTTCGATACGTCGAGGAACAATTATTTTACCCCTCTGAAATCGTAACTTAGAAACGGTAGTAATGACTAGGAACCGTACTCTTCAACGCACGGTTCATAGCACGTCCATCTCGGTAATTTTTTAAACGGTTTATAGTACAATTTTCTTGTCACGATGATTTGTTGCAGTTTTCAAAGGTGCGAGAAAAGAACAAGTCATCGTGGATAAGGAAAACTGCAGATCTCGTATATGGTGCCCAGTGAGTACCAAAATCCCATTAACAAACAGCCGACCCCGTCGCTGCCATGAGCATCTCCACCGCCTCCAAAGCCCCCACCTACCATCGTTACCGCAGCCACAAACCGCCTGCAACACTACAGCGCTCGCTTTTCCCTCCGTTCGCTCCGCTTCCTCCGCCACCTCCTCCGCCGCCTGCTCCTGCTGCTGCTGCTCCTCCACCACCACCACCACCACCACCACC